CCCTAATGCTGACTCTATCAAAGAGACGTTTTTCTTTTGCAAAGAAATGGAAAGCCATACTACGGGAGAAGAAATATTCAGGGTAACTAATAACTATTTAAAAGAGAACAGTCTGACCTGGAATATGTGCGTCAGTCTTTGCACAGATTGTGCGGCAAGCATGACGGGGAGAGTGAAAGGATTTATTGCTAAGGTGAGAGCACAAAACCCACATATCGTGACAAACCACTGCATTTTGCATAGAGAGGCATTAGTTGCCAAAACCATGCCCCCGGAGTTGACTGAGGTGCTGAATCAGGCTGTGCAGATGGTGAATTACATCAAATCAAGGCCCCTGAAATCTCGCCTCTTCTCCCAGCTGTGCGCCGAGATGGGAGCCGACCACCAAAGCCTGATCCTCCACAATTTCTAATTTTGTGACCTGACTGGTTTAAATGAGTGTGTTGCTGCTTTGATGAAGCCTAATTTGATAAAGTTTCAAATTAATTTCTGAAATATTTCGTTAATAAATATTTCATGAGTAATATAGTTGTCTTTGTCACATTTTATTTGGCATTAGTAAATAATTATGCACATTTACAGATATCTTTACATGATATGAGTGATAACACGTGTTTTAGGGCTATTTTGCACAATAGGTGTGCCTTGAGATTTTTACTTGTCCTTTGGTGTGCCTTGGGCACAAAAAGTTTGGGAACCACTGCTTTAGAGAATCCGACTGCACTTTCACTATCCGACGTGTTTATGATGCGCCAGCGGAGGTCATAAATGTGCGTCTGCTGCTGTGGGGAAACTATGGAAACTACAGTTTTCTATACAGCGGACTACAACATGGATGTTTAATAAGAACGAGGGACTACTGTAAACTCATCTAGAGACTCTGCACCGTGCTCTGATGCTGTTGTTTTATGCTTTATGAACGGGGACAACAGAGAAACATATTCTTCATGACCAAAGTTGGAATTGAAATAAAAAAGGAAAGTGAAACTTATGCTCGTCACCCTCTCCCTCCGGTCCACATTAATACAAATGATCCCAATACGTATGACTGTATGAAAAGATCTTAAAATCAATACAAATGTATTTATTATAAACGTTAGTCCTTAACATCTATCACTGTGTATTAGGGATGTGCATCTCCATCACTGAGGCCGATACGATGCGCATCTCGATACGCTACCAACGATACGATACATTAACGATACCTTTGAAACACCAGGCGATGCGATACGATACGATTCACCCTGGTTGCGATACAGTTCGATACGATTTGATTCAACATTATGCGATATGGGGCGATACGATGCGATTCAACACGATGCAAAATAATGATACAATTCAATATGGTACGACAGAGGATTTTGTTTTATTCCTTATATGCAGCAAATCATACATTAACAAAAAAGTGCTTCACATATTTGCTTCTCTCTACTAGTACTGCACATCCCATCATGCTGTTTCTTTTTTACCTTAACAAAAACAAACACTTGGACCTTTCACAAACTGGCCTTTTCACAAGTGTAGTAGTGTTCTCTGTCTCCAGAGTACAGTTCAATTTTATAACACCTCACAGTTAAACAATTTAAGGATGCATTGCCCAGGATTACCAATGTGCAAATAACAACTACCATAGTGCAATGCACATACAGCTGCCAGCCTGATGTGCTTAACACTCATTCATAGGCTAACTCACCAGTGAGCAGAAAGCAGTGGTTTCTATAGGAACAATAAAGAAAATAACCTTTCACAATCAGGTATTTCATAACTGCTTACAATTGTAAGGAAGACATGTAAACTATTGTTGGCAGTCACAGGCTGTTGTAAACTAAACACCACTCTCACTGACAGAACACCTCACTGAGTGATTGAACTCATATGTCTAACTTTCAGGTTTCTCTTTTCAGCCGCAGACCCCATGCTGCCTCTATGTGCGTCGCTAAGTTCCTCGTACGACTTGTGTACTTTAAAGCCGCACGGCATCGTTTACAATTTGCGAGCGATTTTTCAAGTTGTCCGTCTTTCTTGAAAAATTCGAAGTGTTGCCAAACGTTTGATTTGTAGGTATTTTTCGGTGCGCTGTGTTTCTCTTTCTCCTCGACTTCCATGTGTGTTGATAACTGAGACTCTCGGCCTCCGTAGTGCGAAGCAAAGATCAAAGATCGTCTCTGCTGAGTGCTGACAAGATGAGGGGATATTATATGAATGAATCGTTTTTTTACCGATGCAAAGACGCTACAATCGATGCATCGCGAGTTCAACCCAAACTGTAGCCGATGTGCACTCTTTCAACCGGTGCACTCGCATCTTGAACGTTTATGCCGGTGCACCGATGCGAATCGGTGAATCTTAACATCCCTACTGTGTATATCACCATTCAAACATCTTTTAAAAGTTGAACAAACCCCACACAGCTCAGTAAAGACTGTGAAATGTTGACTTTATTTGATCATTTCAGTAAAAACTAACGTTCATATTTCTCTTTTTGATTATAATACTGATGAACGTTCAAAACAAAGCACTTTGGCAACTTACCACATACGTTTTAAAATGTTTAATAAGCACCGTAACTTTCATGATATCATTTCTCGTTCATAATCGGTTGTTTCCGTGAACGGCCGACTGTTGTGTGACGGCAAATGCCGCGGCCGCAAGGCATTGTGGGGCAGCATTTTCTCCTCTCCTTTCGGTTAGGGAGGTCCAGTGGTTCCTAAGCTAAAGGAGGTTATAAAGGAAGTTTGAAACCTCCTTTCCTTTCATTTAGAGAATTCGAACGGCTCTTATCATGGCTGCCACTGAGGGACTTCCGGGTCATTTCACTCCGTTAGGAAGGTTCCTAAGCTAAATGGACTATTCGACCGCAACCCTGGTCTCCCCTCCCTCTAACCCCCTCCCCCCACGGGAACTCCGCCTTTCTCAAAGAATATGTACACTAACACTTGAACCTGAACTCACACATGCACGTGTGCAATATGTGGTGTAATGTGTTTTGGGGCCATAAAATAAAATAACAACAGGATTGTACAGTTATGAATGCATAATAGGTTAGTTATGATGTAGTTAAAACAATATTGAATGATAGTCATTTATTTGAGTGTTTTGGACTGAGATAAATCATGGGTCAAAACTGACCTGCGAACACCATGAACAGTAACAGCTTCAACACAACACAAGGGTTAAGCTGCAGCAGAGGTTCAAAGGTTGAAAGGCAAGGCAAGTTTATTTATACAGCACATTTCAACACAAGACAATTCAAAATGCTTTACAAAAATGAAAGACATTAAGAGCATTAAGAAACATATTATTAAATGACATTTAAAAACACTCATTTAAAAGCAAAGATAATAAAACATGAAAAGCAAAGGTACATGAATAAAAGTCACACTGCAGTGTGAGAAACACACATCTGAAATGTTTAGGTCTGACTCTCAATCATTGCTCACTTTTTAGCAGAAATAGTTTTCTATCACCTCCCTTTCTTTCTACTTTCTTGTTTAACTTGTCCTTTAGTTATTTCAAGTGTTTCATGCTAAACGAACCCCCCTTTGGAACATTATAATCTGACCCCATGGTACCTTTTAGTTTTCACCGAAACTATTCCTCTTTTTTATTTTTAAATGCACATAGTTAAGTTTACCTTGTCTTTCTAGGACTTTTTTGGTATCCTCCGCAAACCAGGGTCTTGAAACCAAAACGTCACACGTAGGGGACTTTAACCCCAATAATGACTTTAACTACCTACGAGGGGACTTTAACCCTTACAATAATAAGCCTGAATATATCAATTAAAAGCAGCGGCAAAAAGAAAAGTCTTCAGCCTGAATTTAAAAGTAGTCAGAGTTGCAGCAGACCGGCAGGTTTCTGGGAGTTTGTTCCAGATATTTGGAGCATAATAACTGAACTTCTCCATGTTTAGTTCTGACTCTGGGGACAGAAAGCAGACCTGAGAGATCTGGATGGCTCATAATGCAGCAGCAGATCAGAAACCATACAATGCTTTGTAAACCAGCAGCAGTATTTTGAAATCAATTCTTTGACAGACAGGAAGCCAGTGTAAAGACTTCAGAACAGGACTGATCCACTTTCTTAGTGTCAGTGAGGACTCGAGCAGCAGCGTTCTGAATCAGCTGCAGCTTTCTAATAGATTTTTTTAGTGAGACCTTAAAGACAGGTTTTATATGTCGTGCACAGCAGTGTAGATATCTCAATACAAAACGTAGGTCCAGCTCCTCCTACAATGCAACATAAATATATATAAGACATACAAAAACAATAAAAATAGTTCGAGAGAATGTTGCAAGACTTACGGAAGAGGATTAGGGCCACAAAAATGTTTGTTTTTGTTAAAAAAAAAAAGTCAGAATTGCTACTTTTACTTAAAGCTCACCTATTATGCTATATTTGAACAATATATTATAGGGCCATATCAATACAAAACATGTCTCTGAAGTTTTTGCTCAAAATACCAAACAGATAATTTCTCTCTCTCAGGTTTACCACAAGGTGAGTTCCTTTTTATTTCCTGCTTCTTTACACATACTCTCTCAGTACAGGTTAGCTCTGAGTGTGAGCGATGCTAATGTAAACAAAGACCATATTACTTCCAAAACATGTTGCGCATTGTTTCTGATAGCAACGTTTCTGATAGGCCCGTGGCTGTATAGCCCGCCCACATTTTAGTAATGTCGTCATGACGCAGCAAATCTGTATCAGCTCCGTTGTTCCCCTGTTCTTATAGATGTGGGTACGGAGGAATAACAGAGAGGTTTCTGACACTTTGTGAGTCCCCTGACACACCGGGGACACACCAGGACACACCGGGGACACATATTTATGTATAAAAGACATCAAAAAGTGCATTTTGCATAATAGGTGACCTTTAATTAAAAAATGTCAAACGACGTTGCAGTGCGGTCATTGGAACGTTAGGAAGCACCTAACCAGAAAACCCTCCCTTCTGTCTTTCCCCTTCAGAAATGGCCTCTGCAAACATTTCAGAGGAGTTTCGGTGCTCCATCTGTTTGGATGTTTTCACTGAGCCTGTTTCCACTCCCTGTGGACACAACTACTGCCGGGCCTGCATCAGCAGCTACTGGAGCTCCAGGGACATCATCCAGTGTCCGCTGTGCCAAGAAACCTTCCTCACAGCCCCCAAACTGAGAGTCAACACCGAGTTCAGAGACATGTTGGAGATTTTCAAGAAGACCAAACAAGCAGGTGACTAAAATTCCTAAAATGTTCTGAATTTGTATTTTATAAAGAATTTCATTTTGTTTTGGATTTTTTTTTGTCTAGAATAAAAAACAAAATTAAATGTATTCATTGCCTTGGATTTAAAGATTATAGTATTTTGATAAAGTTATGTTTTCCTGTTTTAAAATAATCTTATGTTTTCATACTGAACCCATTTTAAACCCATATTATTTTATATATAATTTTATTTTTAAGAAAATGTAGTGATCATTTTTGAAAAAGTAATGTTTTGGATCTGAATAATTTTACTTTATTTGGAAAACATGTCCAGTGTTTAAAGGACCGCAGTTAAAAAAACAAAAAAGTCAAAAAAGTCCTTGATATTCTTTTTCAAAACATCATCACATTCTGAAATGTCTTCATTTCCAGAATCAGCAGGCAGACAGGATGACTTATAATGACAATCATTTAATCAAGGAATATGTACAGGCAGGTACAGACAGACAGAAAGTGCTAAATAAAAAATGTATGCGAAAGTATAAAAATAAAATGTTTCCAAAAGCAGGTGAGGATGGAGGATCCCCGGCCGGGCCTGGAGACGTGCCCTGTGACCTCTGCGAGGGGAATAGGAAACGTAAGGCTGTGAAATCCTGCCTGGTTTGTTCGGCCTCTTACTGTGTCGTTCACCTGAAGCCCCATCGCACCGTGCAGAAGTTAAAGTGGCACCAGCTGATCAACCCCGTGGATTCCCTCGAGGAAAGGGTCTGCAGGAAGCACAACAAAGTGATGGAGTCTTTCTGCAAGAGAGACCAGTGCTGCGTTTGTTCCGTGTGCCTGAAGGAAGACCATGTGGGGCATGACGTCGTCTCTTTGGAGGAAGAGTTTAAGGCGAGGAAAACTATGCTGCAGGGTGCAAAAACATCTATGGCCAACGCTATATCAGATAAATGCAACACGGTTATAAGGGTGGAAAACTTGATGATGGAAAGTAGGCAGAAGGTGGAGGAAACTAAGGTGGAAGCGAACCAGGCCCTCGCTGGTTTGGTTGCCGCGATTCTCAGTAAAAAAACTAAGCTGATGGAAGTTTTGGAGGAGAAGCAGGAAGCTGCAGAGCAAAGGGATAAAGCACTAAAGAGACAGCTATGGCTGGAGATCGCAGAACTCCGTGAGACGAGTGTGAAGATGGAAGAGGTTTTAAAGACAGAGGACGAATTTGGACTCCTGCAGAACCTACCACCCATCCCCTCTGCAACAAACACAAGGCATTGCTATACAGAACACAAAAGTCTCCTGCAAGTAGAGAAAGTCTTGAGAGCGGTGGTTAAAATCGAGGAGACGCTCAACGAACACATGGACAAGATTATCAGAGAGGTCCTTCAGGTGGATGAGGAAGAGGAGGCCTTTGAAGAACAGCAAACAGGAACCCCGTTTGACGATGAACTTGATAAGATCCAGGTGCAACATGCAGTAAAAGTGACTTTGGATCCCATCACAGCTCACCCTTCCCTTTTCGTCTCTGAGGACGCAACACAAGTTTGGGATGGAGTCTTCAAGAGGAACATCAGTGACAACTCTAAAAGGTTCGACTCGCTCCATTTCGTCCTTGGGAATGAGGGGTTTTCCTCCGGGAAAATCTACTATGAAGTATCCCTTGAAGGACTGACTGGATGGGAAGTGGGAGTGGTGAAAGAGTCCATGAACAGGAAAGGTGTCAACTTGTTGCTTACTCCAGAAAACGGATGCTGGACGTTGGGGTACTATTCGGGACGATGCCAGGCTAACTCCAATCCTCCGGTCCACTTGCCTTCGATTAAAAAGCTCCAGAAGGTCGGGGTGTTTGTGGATTTGGAAGAAAGGTTTGTCTCTTTCTACAATGTGGACACGAGGGCTCAGATCTACTCGTTTACAGGGTGCGTCTTTGAAGATGCATCATTTCTGAGGAAAATACGACTGTTTGGGGCGAGGCCCAAGATCTACCCTTTGTTCCGACCCAGCGCTGAGAAAGGGAGCGCTCCTTTACGGATCACTAATGTCAGATCAGTGTTGTAGTCAAAACACCAATTCACAATTCCAAGTCACTCTCGAGTCCCCACTTTCTGAGTCCAAGTCCAAGTCTGAGTCACCTAGGGAGAGTCCGAGTCCAAGTCCGAGTCCGAGTCCAAGTCCAAGTCCAAGTCTGAGTCCGAGTCCAAGTCCGAGTCCGAGTCCGAGTCCGAGTCCAAGTCCGAGTCCGAGTCCAAGTCTGAGTCCAAGTCCGAGTCCGAGTCACCCAAGGAGTGTCCGAGTCATCATTACCTGTGTTCGAGTCCGAGTCCAAGTCCGAGTCCGAGTCCGAGTCCAAGTCCGAGTCCAAGTCCGAGTCCGAGTCACCCAAGGAGTGTCCGAGTCATCATTACCTGTGTTCGAGTCCGAGTCCAAGTCCGAGTCACCCAAGAAGAGTCCGAGTCAAGTTCAAGTCACAAGTCTTCATGTATTAGTCTTCGTGGATATATTTGTTTAAATGTAGCTGTAGCTCCTCTACATTGCTTTTATCCTGTCATTTTATAACTCGCCTCCAGGTGCACTCGCCAGGACAGAGTACATCTGACTTGAGACAAAACTTGCTCGAATCCGAGTCCAAGTCGGAGCGTCAATGTACAAGTCGAGTCCGAGTCATCGTGGGCGAAACATTCACGAGTCAGAGTCAATCATTGCGAAAGCCCGAGTCGAGTCACGTGTCGTGAAAATCAGGACTCGAGTACTCCATCTCTGAGTCAGATACACAAAAATAAAGTAGAGCGTCCTACTCGGACAAGATCCTGGGGTTTGTTATTTCTTAACTTATTAATTTCATGGTTAAAATAAAAACAGAAAAAACAACAACTTTATATTAAGGAAACAATGCACATATGTGCAAATAATACTATAAATATTGTGATCAATATTACTTTCTATTATAGTTTCCTATTTCTACGACATTTCGCTCACCTTTATTGTGACTCTATTGAAACGTTTATATTTTAAGACTATTCAATGTTTAATGCCTAAACACACTGCTGCTCATGTAACACAGTATATAACTCATTGTACACGTTTGATTTACTCTATTGATGTTGTGTTGGTGATTTTTGAGCAATCTCTGAAGGAATAATTTATTTGGGGGGTTTATTAAGTTATATCTTATCTTATAGAATAATCAATAATATTATTCAGCTAACTTTTATTTGGCTTCTTTAGTCAAACTCGTGTTTGGGTATCATTTGCCATTTTCTTCGGCTGTTAAGATTCACTTTTAGTTGTTGTTATATCAAAATAAAATATAGTTGTAATGATATATTTCTTTTCTGAAATGGATGCAGTTTTTGCCTTTGGTCACTTGAGGGCAGTGCACACACAATAATGGTTCTGCTAAACCCCTAATAATAAACAAATACACAAGTTACTGTTCACAAAACAGGAGATAAATATTACTATACAGCCAATTTAATGTTTTCATACAAGGTGGGTTATATTTAGTTTCCACTCAATCAAGGAGGTAAGAATAACATGAAAAACATTACCAAAAAGCACCAAAAAAAGAGATTTCTTCATAAAAATGTGTTCCTTTTTATTGGATTGCACTTTATAAATGTGTATTAAAGGTCTCATATGAATAAAGTTAATTAAAATAATAAAAAATTGCTGAATTGCTTGGAGTTGACACACAATATCTAAGGTTTTTGAACATGTTTTGGGGATACAGGTGAGGAATTATGAAATTTGTATGACATAAGGTAGCATAATTATTTACATAATTTACAGCAATATAACACAATAGAGTATAATTTAAACTCCAACTTCCTCCAGCCAATCAGGTGCCTTTGTTATTTTCACATTACGTTCAGCCGGGCATAACATTAAACAATAAAGTACAAATTCTAAATGTATTGTCGTGAGTGTAAAACACGTCCTCCGGGTAAAAATATGACGTTTTTAATGAAATATATTTATATACATATATATTTAATTTAATACAATTAAAAAATAATATTATTTAATAATTTGATTTATTCATAATAAATATTCAATTTTGATGTAAATATTTGTTCTTGGATTCAACTGTAATGACTGTATTTAAAAAGTAGTGAATTAAAAATAATAAGATTAATGCAAAAATGAAATACATTCCTAAAAATGTGAAATTCGTTTTCAAAAATATTAGTTTTAAGTGTTATAACTTTTTTAATTTATTGTCTTGAATATAAATAATTGTATTTTTTTTTGTATTCAGGGCATTTGGATTTTACATTTTGTTTTCATTACAAAATATATTTTAAATGAATTTAAATATAATGACGTTTTTTTTTATTGAAAGTCCTAACAAGACCTGAAGCGGAGGTTGGTCCTCACAAAGGAGGAAGTACATGAATAGACACACACATTACATTACATTACATGTTTCTTGTTAGACGCTTTTATCCAAAGCGACTTACACGCAACGACATGCTGACTGCAGTGGGGTTTGAACACCTACGGACAACCCACTACGCCACACACCTCTTCACACAGGTAGAACAGGTGTGTCCTGCATTCACAAGATCTGCACTCAGATAGTTCAGTTGTGTTTCTAGCTTGCACTGCACACAAAAAACAGGTAAGCTTTGATTTCTTTACTTCCTCTAACGCTTTATGTAACTTTTATTGGATTTTAACTGTTAGGTTTCAGCTGTTATGTAGACACTACATACTGATATACACCTGAACGTCAGCAGGAGAGGACTCTTTAAAGTAGAGACACTACATACTGATATACACCTGAACGTCAGCAGGAGAGGACTCTTTAAAGTAGAGACACTACATACTGATATACACCTGAACATCAGCAGGAGAGGACTCTTTAAAGTAGAGACACTACATACTGATATACACCTGAACATCAGCAGGAGAGGACTCTTTAAAGTAGAGACACTACATACTGATATACACCTGAACATCAGCAGGAGAGGACTCTTTAAAGTAGAGACACTACATACTGATATACACCTGAACATCAGCAGGAGAGGACTCTTTAAAGTAGATAGGCTACATACAGGATTTTAACTGTTAGGTTTCAGCTGTTATGTAGCCAAGAAGTAGATGAGATAGCAAAAAAACGAGGTAAATTAGTGGGCTACTGATACAAGAGTACATATAACCCCAAAGTATCGTGACACAGGCAGTATGTTCTCAAATATTTATACTACAATAATATATATAGTCAGGTGTGCACATAACTTTTTGAGTGAGTTACTCAGATGAGTACCAGGAGACAGCGTTTGGTACTCACCCCACATGAAGCGTGGTGTTAATAAGTGCAGTCTTCCTCACTGTCCTCCTCAGTGTCTCCTTCACTGTCCTCTATTTACACTTCTTGCATGCTAGATGATGAAGATGATGAAGATGCACCTCCCTGTCTCTTTGTAAGCCTCCGATTTGCTTTCTCCAAAACTTGTTGCCAAAACTGTGAAGTCCTTGCATTTCCTGAGGCCAAGTTGAAGGATCAAATACTAAGAAATTATCACATGACTTGAAGTCATATCTGATTTCAGAGGTGGGAAGTAACAAAGTACACTTATTCAAGTACTGTACTTAGGTACAATTTAAGATACTTGTAGTTTACTTGAGTATTTCTATTTTATGCTACTTTGTACTTCTACTCCACTACAGTTCAGAGGTAAATCATGTACTTTTCTTCCACTACATTTATTTAATACCTTTAGTTACTTTACAGATGTGGATGAATGATGTGAAAATATAATCAAGTGTTAAATCAGACTTTAGTTCCACCTGGAGTAAATCCACAAGCTACCCTGCAGTATACAAAGTCATTCAAACTAATTTTTAAACACTTTAATGATCAATAATTATAAAACATATCATATACATTATTATGAAATGGACCAATCTGCAAAATGACTACTTTTACTGTCGCTACTTTAACTAGATTTTGATGATAATACTTTTCTAATTTTACTTGAGTAACACTTCTTCCACCTCTGTCTGATTTCAAACTCTTCCATTAACAGCCTGAGTAAGTTTGCAGCTGTGTGTTTTACTCCACTTTGTTGTAAATAAAACTGCAGCAGCTTGACCACAGAGCGTGAACGTTGTGATCAGCTGATTTTGCGCAGTTCTCCAGTGTGTGCGCGGGGCACAGAATGTGCACAGGGGAGTCTCCCACCGCAGCCAGTTGACGTAGTTTTGGTACAATTCTGTTGTACACACCGACGTTAACAGCAGCTCCGTCTGTGCACACGGCGACCAACTCTGTCGTCCAGTGATCTAAGCCTCTGCCTCCTGTGAAGCTTCACAGGTCCGTCGGTTATGTCCTGCGCGGCACGGCCAGCACCCAGTTCAATCAGTCATAGGTTGCGTTCGAATACTCCAAAAAAACAGCTCCTAAGTTCTAACCCTATCGTCTATTCCTTGACCTCGGAGTGAAACGTCATGGGGTTAAGGGATAGTGGATAGGAGAATTCAAAAGGATTTAGGAGAAGAGACTGCGGCACTTTAGAGAATCCGACTGCACTTTCACTATCCGACGTGTTTATGATGCGCCAGCAGAGGTCATAAATGTGCGCCTGCTGCTGTGGGGAAACTATGGAAACTACAGTTTTCTATACAGCGGACTACAACATGGATGTTTAATAAGAACGAGGGACTACTGTAAACTCATCTAGAGACTCTGCACCGTGCTCTGGTGCTGTTGTTTTATGCTTTATGAACGGGGACAACAGAGAAACATATTCTTCATGACCAAAGTTGGAATTGAAATAAAAAAGGAAAGTGAAACTTATGCTCGTCACCCTCTCCCTCCGGTCCACATTAATACAAATGATCCCAATACATATGATTGTATGAAAAGATCTTAAAATCAATACAAATGTATTTATTATAAACGTTAGTCCTTAACATCTATCACTGTGTATATCACCATTCAAACATCTTTTAAAAGTTGAACAAACCCCACACAGCTCAGTAAAGACTGAAATGTTGACTTTATTTGATCATTTCAGTAAAAACTAACGTTCATATTTCTCTTTTTGATTATAATACGGATGAACGTTCAAAACAAAGCACTTTGGCAACTTACCACATACGTCTTAAAATGCTTAATAAGCACCGTAACTTTCATGATATCATTTCTCGTTCATAATCGGTTGTTTCCGTGAACGGCCGACTGTTGTGTGACGGCAAATGCTGCGGCCGCAAGGCATTGTGGGGCAGCATTTTCTCCTCTCCTTTCGGTTAGGGAGGTCCAGTGGTTCCTAGGCTAAAGGAGGTTATAAAGGAAGTTTGAAACCTCCTTTCCTTTTAATTTAGAGAATTCGAACGGCACTTATCATGGCTGCCACTGAGGGACTTCCGGGTCATTTCACTCCGTTAGGAAGGTTCCTAAGCTAAATGGACTATTCGAATGCAACCATAGAAAGTCTGAAGATTTTAGCAGGGAGCGAAACGGCAAAGTGGCTGCTTAATGTCTTTGTTTTTTTTGGACATGTCTAATAATTTACTCCACTGAGTATTGACAAGAAACATGTGTAGGCGAAATATGTGTTTTGTTTTGATGACCTATCAGGTACGCAAAGGCGCGTTGTGACACAAGTGACGTTACGCATTTCAGATTGTTGCCGCGCATGCGTACCTGCGTACCAGTTATGTGCACCCCTGTATATAGTCATATTTTGAAATGGGGCGTAATGCAATACTTTTACTTGTAACAGAGTACTCCTACACCTAGGTGTTTTTACTTACACTTTTGTAAAAAAAAATAAACATGATTTATTATTATGTATTTTCATGTTCTTCTTATTATTATGATATTAAAATGATTATAATTATTTTAGTTCACTTTACACACATTTCATTTAAATTATTGAATGCTTAGGATTGGATGTATTCAAAAAAGCAATTACTCTCTAGGATTTCTTTCGTGTTTTTAGAAAATGAATTGTCTTGATTTTAACCATTTCTTTCTGAATATATAAAATAAATATTAATAAAATAATACATAGCTCCGTTCGCCGTTTTGCACCGTAACTTTACAATCATCCACTGTATTATTCATCTGAATTTGCCGATGTTCTTAAAGCTAAGACATTTTTTTTTTTTAGATCAGACGTAACCCCCAACCTTGGACCCCGCCTTGTTATGGTCAGCCAATAATACACAATCAATACATTTCTGTATATGTTTTACTTTGTACTAATGTGGAATGCAGCGAGGTAGATCTATGTGTGTCAGCATGTGACCGGTGTAACTGGTTAAACTTCTTCTCATGAATGTCTTTCATTGTTCAGCATTTATGAAACAATTCAGTCCACTCCTTTCACAAGTATGACTTTACCGAACCGACTATAGCAGGGGTTTCAAACTCAAGGCCCGGGGGCCAAATCCGGCCCGCTACTTCATTTTCTGTGGCCCCGCAAGAGCTTGCAAAGAATATAATATGTTTATTATAGGGTTACATGCCGATTTACAGAAGCACGTTGCCCATAAACTACATGTCCCACAATGCATCTCAAATATGCCTTTTTTTCTTAGAATTTGCCTTTTTTTTCAAAATGTTACTTTTTTTCAAAATGTCACTTCTTTTTTTGATTGATTGATTGATTGAAAAGTTTATTAACAGCTTGTATATTGGGTACAGTACAGTACAGCTCAAAACATACAATTGTTAAGGGGATGCAGACCAGAGAAAGACTTTCGTCTTGTTTACATCAGGGTCCCCCATTTCCAATTCATCATATCATTTAAGACATATAAGACATATTTGACATACAGATGGCTTATTTACAATTTACATACAGGTGGTTTTTTACATACAGATGGCTTATTTACAATTTTCATTTTAGATTTCGTTCTAATACATCCTAACCGGACATTTAAGACATACCAAGTCTACAGATATACAGTTAGTAACAGAGTCTAAAATGCGAGTATATACATAGATCCTGATTGTGACTTTTTTTCCAGAATTTGGCTTTTCTTTTTAAATCATTTTGTGACATGCGCACTGAAGAGACTTGCAATTATTTACCCTAGACTTCTGCTTTCAGACGTAGTTAATTATGAAGTTATTACCCTATCCGAAAGCTGACCAGTCCCTGAAGACCTGAGAGTTCTGGATGGTTCATCTCCTGCTAAATAGCAGGAGATCAGAAATGTATTTTGGGCCTAAACCATTCAGTGCTTTATAAACCAGCATTACTATTTTGAAATCTATTCTTTGACAGACAGGAAGCCAGTGTAAAGACTTCAGAACAGGACTGATCCACTTTCTTAGTGTCAGTGAGGATTTGAGCAGCAGCGTTCTGAATCAGCTGCAGCTTTCTAATAGATTTTTTAGTGAGACCTTAAAGACAGGTTTTATATGTCGTGCACAGCAGTGTAGATATCTCAATACAAAACGTAGGTCCAGCTCCTCCAACAATGCAACATAAATATATAAGACATACAAAAACAATAAAAATAGTTCGAGAGAATGTTGCAAGACTTACGGAAGAGGATTAGGGCCACAAAAATGTTTGTTTTTTTGTTAAAAAAAAGAAGTCAGAATTGCTATTGCTCACCTATTATGCTATATTTGAACAATATATTATAGGGCCATATCAATACAAAACATGTCTCTGAAGTGTTTTGCTCAAAATACCAAACAGATCATTTTTCTCTCTCAGGTTTACCACAAGGTGAGTTCCTTTTTATTTCCTGCTTCTTTACACATACTCTCTCAGTACAGGTTAGCTCTGAGTGTTAGCGATGCTAATGTAAACAAAGACCATATTACTTCCAAACAACCTGAGGCCTGTACTACGAAGCCGGATTTTCGCTTAGCCGGCTGACTTCAGGGAAAACTCTGGCTTTCCGGTCCTACGACGCTGGTTCTCTTTTTAGCGGGCTAGATCTCCATGGTAACTTATGCTGAGCGGCTAGCCTGGTCCGGAGCAGGTTAGGTTGCAGGCTAAGAGATCAACTCAGTGAAAGCACCGCCTGCTGACCAATCAGAGCTCCGTGTGCGGAGTTTAAAGCTATCAAGTCATATTACAGGATAGAGGAAATACAGAAAAACTGCCGTTGCAGGAAAGACGGCCGGCAAAAATCAACTGACTGTGTGAACGTGAAAATTAATAGAATATCCCCTCCCATCTTCAGAGCAATCTGACTATTATAACATTAGCGTTAAGAAAGCTTACTTAAATATCTGCCACAACATAAGTAACCGGATCAGAGTAACATTAAGTACAGTCTGCGGCACTGTGAGTGCAGACGTCGATGTGTCCCATTATCATTCATATCATATCACATCATAATGTATCATATATTTCCTTATTTGAGTCAGCTTCTTGAGCCGTATCTGGCCGTACAACACTCACAGTGTCACATACTGTATGCAGAAGTATTATTTTAAGCAACACATTAAGTTGACGAAACACTCGAGTCAAATGTAATTAAAGTCAGATCCACTCGTGTCTTGGACGGGGCAGTGATTTCATAAACCTGTTAATGTACGCATTCAAACGCTTTTTCTTTTACCAGCTGTATTCACCTTGCAGGTGCAGCTATGTGGCTTTTATCCTGGGTAAAGTGTTTAAGTCATGGATGTTTAAAGTTTAACTTCTTCATATTTGACTAATATTAAAGTTCACTTTTCATTCAGGAAGTATGACGCTGCGCTGTCAGTACGCTTGTCCATGTTTGTGATTGGTCGAATGCTCCAAATACCACCCCTTCATGTGAACGCACACCTAACTAGATAGGACACGGCTGGCTTGAGCGATCCACTTGATAACCAGCGTCGTAGTACAGTTTAGCGAGAGCGCGTATGTTTTGGATTGGGCCAACCGGCTAACTCAAACATATCCAGGTTAGGAAAATCCGGCTTCGTAGTACAGGCCTCTGGTCTCACCAGAATGCGTGACTCCACCACGACTCCTTAACACCGCAGTGCGTGGTGGAGTCACGAACTTTGCTACATTTACGTGTCTGCACCACGCAAACAACCCCAATGTAAAGTGAATGAGGCTCCTTTGTCGTGGTGCACACACGCATTTCTACAACGTCCAGCAGTGAGCTTTTATTCTATAAAACGTTTTTAAAATCTACTTTATAGCTTGTTGTAACTCACGGGTGGCTTCTTTTATTTTATTTGTTATTAAATTAGTTAGTTTTTAAGGAAGGCCAGAGCTTCAGCTGTGTCAAATAGATTGTTCCCTTTAGTTAACGTTATTCAAAAGATAATTATATTCCTATTTGATCATGTCCCCTTTATTGTATTACGGACCCAAAGAGCAATGTGAGCGTCCATTCCCATTGGATAACGGAGGATTTTACACCCGGAAGTAAGTATTCTCCTTACTGTCGATTGATTTTACAGTGATATCTGCTCTACTCATCAACTCAAAAACACCAGATTATCCTTGTTAATTACACAACATTGATTGGTTTAAATTGTGTGCAATGCTTTTGTAATTTTCTCCTTCGATTCGGAGAAACAAATATTTGTTCAGAGTTTAGGATGGCCGAAGACACTACACTACCCAGAATCCTCAGCTATTGTTCCGCTTTGCCTCAAGCTCTGTGATTGGTTGACCTCCAACTGCATTCCATATGAAAAAAAAACGTTTCGTAAAAGATAAAATCATACTTTATTCAGCAGTGCTTGCTTTACTCTTTGAAAGTCATCACATGAATGCATTGTAATGAATGGTTTGGCTGCATTAAACATTACACATCTGTCGTAGTTCTTTATTTATCTACAGAGATCGGGCCTCAGAATAGACCGGAAACTATTCTTTTACCGTTCTGTTTTAATTTCACAATAAAGTTAGTAGTAATAATTTTTTTTGATATTATTGTTTTTTATTAACTACTAGACCGCTGGGTCATGTTAAGACCATCTTTTCTGTGTTGCTGTGGGTTTTTTACATCGCTTTTGTGTTACAAATATAAAAACAATAACAGAATATATCCGTCGTAAACTAAACCAGAAACAGCAGTATATTTTATTTTGTTAACACTGTAAACTTGACAGCTTTTTAACCCGCACCTCCTACTGGTTAAAGCACGTTATTACACGTTTAGAGTAATTGCAATGCAGGTAGATTGTGTTGCTTTTTAATGACTGTTTTAAAATGCCTTTTTCTTAATGTCTTTCATTTTTGTAAAGCACTTTTGAATGTGTTATATTTGATGAAAACATTTAAATATTAAGAGTACATACTCTTAATATAGTGGGAAAGTGGAAGGTCAATGATATAAATAATATAGAATAGAAAATATCAAGAAGATACTGTAAGTGATCTCTACAATAAAACAGTTTAGTGCCTGATAGGAGGATGTGCAAAACAGACAAACTAATAAGGCTTTATTTAAACATTAAAGAATACTTTAGGTTAAGGTCTTCTTTTAAATAAGAAAAAAGCTTTGGGGGTATCTACAGATATTAAGCCTGACAAAGTACTTAACGTCGAATATATTGCATGGTTTGTTTTGGAACTTGACAATCAACTTTCCTGCAATGTTAACTATGTTGAAGCACTTATTTTAACTGATATTATACATATTAATTATACTCTTATAAGATGTATGTAGATAGTATAAGAAATGTGCAGAATATGTTTAATGGTGGAGGTACACAGATATCGATAGATGTCTTGTAATGCACTGTTGATGAACCTGTGACCCAAGTTTTTCATTCATTGCATAACTACACCGTAGTTGTGTATATGATATGTCAATGAACCTTAGAAAATCTTGAAATCTTGAAAGGGATGTGCAAAATAGCCATTATATACAGTTTTTAATTAACTATTAGTAGAGAATAACGAGTAATGAATATGCTTTATAGGGATCTGCAGATAAATATTTAGTCTTCTCAAGCACCCACTACCAAATATCTCGCCTGATTGTTGGCACTTGACAATCACCTTCACTGAATTTTACTCAGGTGTAACTAAAGTCTGATTTAAGGGTTGTTTATATTTCACATCATTAATCCAAATCTGTAAAGTAACTAAAATAAATGTAGTGGAGTAAAAATACCAGGTTAACCTTAAAGAAAGCCTTCAGGATTATAAAAGTCCCCCATCACCCCAGCCACAAACTGTTCTGTCTGCTGCCGTCTGGCAGGCGGTACCGCAGCATCCGGACTAAAACCACCAGACTCAGGGACAGCTTCATCCCACAGGCCATAAGACTATTAAACACCTGAACTTAGAAACAACATCCATAACATTCATCTGGCTGCTACTTAGAAATTATTTATCTAATATATCATATTCCAATCACTTGTATATGGACTCTTATTGCACTATTTCACTTTTTACTATTTTACTATTTTACTTTTTGTATTTACTTGCACTACTTGCACTATTTGTTCTGTGTATCTGTTTTATTGTGTTGCACTGTTCCTAAGGGGGGGTAGGACACGTTCTAAGCACATGGTGTAGTCCCATAGCTGAGGATTCTGGGTAGTGTCGTGTCTTCTGCCATCCAAAAACTCAGAAAAAATATTTGTTTCTCCGAATCGAAAGGGGAAAATACAAAAGCATTGTACACAATTTAAACCAATCAATGTTGTGTAATTAACAAGGATAATCTGGTGTTTTTGAGTTGATGAGTAGTGCAGATATCACTGTAAAATCAATCGACAGTAAGGAGAATAGTTACTTCCGGGTGTAAAATCCTCCGTTATCCAATGTGAATGGACGCTCAGCTCTTTGGGTCCGTAATACAATAAAGGGGACATGATCAAATCGGAATATAATTATCTTTTAAATAACGTTAACTAAAGGGAACAATCTATTTGACACAGCTGAAGCTCTGGCCTTCCTTAAAAACGAACTAATTTAATAAAAATCACAGTTGTATTACACACAATGCATTGTTTTTTGAGAACAAACATTGGTGAATAATGCACCATAATACATTCTGACGAAAAAATAAAAATTATTATGAATACAAATAAAATAAAAGAAGCCTCTCGTGAGTTACTACAAGCTATAAAGTAGATTTTAAAAACGTTTTATAGAATAAAAGCTCACTGCGGGACGTTGTAGAAATGCGTGTGTGCACCACGACAAAGGAGCCTCATTCACTTTACATTGGGGTTGTTTGCGTGGTGCAGACACGTAAATGTAGCAAAGTTCGTGACTCCACCACGCAATGCAGTGTTAAGGAGTCGTGGTGGAGTCACGCATTCTGGTGAGATCAGGTTGCTTCCAAAACATGTCGCGCATTGATTCTGATAGCAACGTTTCTGATTGGCCCGTGGGCGTAAAGCCACATTTCCGATATTACGTCATATCGGACGCAAATCTGGATCAGCTCCGTTCTTCCCCCGTTTTTAGAGATGTGGGTACGGAGGAAAAGAGAGAGGGTTTTGTTTTCTGACACTTTGTGAGTCTCCTGACACACCGGGACACATATTTATGTATAAAAGACATCAAAAAGTGCATTTTGCATAATAGGTGACCTTTAATTAAAAAATGTCAAACGACGTTGCAGTGCGGTCATTGGAACGTTAGGAAGCACCTAACCAGAAAACCCTCTCCTCTGTCTTTCCCCTTCAGAAATGGCCTCTGCAAACATTTCAGAGGAGTTTCTGTGCTCCATCTGTTTGGATGTTTTCACGGAGCCTGTTACCACTCCCTGTGGACACAACTACTGCCGGGCCTGCATCAGCAGCTACTGGAGCTCCAGGGACATCATCCAGTGTCCGCTGTGCCAAGAAACCTTCTGGACAGCCCCCAAACTGAGAGTCAACACCGCGTTCAGAGACATGTTGGAGATTTTCAAGAAGACCAAACAAGCAGGTGACTCAAATTCCTAAAATGTTCTGAATTTGTATTTTATAAAGAAATTCATTTTGTTTTGGATTTTTTTTGTCTAGAATAAAAAACAAAATTAAATGTATTCATTGCCTTGGATTTAAAAATTATAGTATTTTGATGAACGTATGTTTTCCTGTTTTAAAATAATTTTATGTTTTCATACTGAACCTATTTTAAAGAAATGTTTTGGTAATGTAAGCAATATATATATATATATATATAATTTTATTTTTAAGAAAATGTAGTGATCATTATTGAAAAAGTAATGTTTTGGATCTGAATAATTTTACTTTATTTGGAAAACATGTCCAGTGTTTAAAGGACCGCAGTTAAAAAAACAAAAGTGAAAGAAATAATGAAAAAAGGTCTTCCAAAAAGGTCCTTGATATTCTTTTTAAAAACATCACATTCTGAAATGTCTTAATTTCCAGATTCAGCAGGCAGCAGGGGCGGATCTAGACAAATATTCATGGGGTAGCAAGAGGGTGGCAGGAGATTTTGAGGGGTGGCATCCCCTGGCACAAGTATATGCTGATTTAATCGCAGTCATATCAATCAATGTTAACTTGGAAAGCCACAATATTAATATTTTAATTCAATAACATTAGGTGACATTATTGTGGCAAATCAGTAAAGCCTTAAATAGAGATATATAAGGTGGCAGACATCATTTAATGAATTTTAACTGAACAATAACTGAATGAGTTTGTTTCACTCTTAGACCAGCAGGGGAACCAAATCTATGAAGACTGCTGCAATAAGTACATTAATTAACCGTCTCATCGATGTTTGTCTGAATGAATATGATACTATTAACAATCATATTATTCCTATCAGCTGTCAATCACTGTTATGATTCACATATTCATTTATTATTGAATTAACTATATTTTTTGGAGGAGTTAATGATGAATGTTCCTCAAGATGCTTGCTCACCCTCCTTCAAATTTGAAAGACAAGTAATTATATCATATATCAAAATTCAAAAGATTCAAAGGAACACTTCAGCGCCCCACGACTTTACTGCAAACAGTTACAACCTTGACTTTACATCAGAAAGAACAAACATTAAAGAAGTGACTAACTGCATCAGTTAGGGTTAAAAAACGTGTATTCAACTAAAACATATACATCGCTGCAGTTATTATCCAGTGGAAAGTCCTTACCTACGTACTGGCCTAGTTAAATCAAAGTGGTTACTTTTTTTTGGCTGGGCAGTGTAGTTTTACACACCGTCTTATTTGACTTTCTCAGAACTTAAAACAGTTTTTTGGGGGCAGACCCCCACAAAGAAAAAAAAGGTCATCATCTTAACAGTTTTTTATGCTCATCCGTGAGCAGAGCATCAAGTTGCCTATTACAGCTGAATGCGGCGATTACCATTTTGTTCAGCAAAACGCCTCACAAACTTATTAAGATTTAAAGCTATGGTGCGTTTTGATTCAATGCTCAGTACAGCCAAACTTGACAGTCTCTTCTCTGTCATTGTAGACCGCAAATACCTCATTCCTTCCGTATATAAATAATTCATTTCAACCAGCTATTGTGTACACCTTCAGACAGCCTCCCAGTGAAGCATACGTTGTTTACTCAGAGTTTGAACGCAGCATGGAGAAGTCTTCAGCTGTGGTGAACTGTGATCCTCTCAGGTAAACTGCGATCCGCCCAGGGAACTGGGACCCGCCCAGGTTAAACTGTGTTAACACTTCTGTGGCTATCTACCAGCGATCATGTTTAATATGAAAGACTACACACACATTTATCCCTTATAAAAACGGTATTCTGCAGCACTCATCCAGATAAGATGTGACTGTTAACTCGTTTTGCAAAGATAGCAGCATGTGCATGTGCAGGGATACTTAGACTTTAAAATGCTGATGAATTATTAATGTTGGTCTCGGCAAACAACATTAGGAATCCTCTATTCAAACATAATATTCAGTGTCCATCGACATGAAAATAACAAAAAAGTTCATGCTGGACTCAAACCCGAGTCCCAACAGCAAAGATCACTCGAGCCCTGCGCGTTATGAGTGCACCACGGATCAACACAACGTATTAGACCACCACACTTCTATTTGTTACATTAACCTTTTTAAAAAGTTCCAGAAAAATGCAACCTGACCATCATTTATAATGTGAGCGAATGTATGTACACAAACTGTTGCATCCTAACTAAAATCCCATCTGGACTGCAATAACCTTCATGAACCTTTTCAATCTGGTTTCCGTACTCGCCACAGCACAGAATCTGCCCTACTCAAGGTGACCAACGACATTCTCCTCTCTGCTGACTCTGGTTCCCTCTCAATTCTCATTCTCCTTGACCTAACAGCCGCATTTGACACAATCAGTCTTCCATTGGCATAACCGGTACTGCAATCTCCTGGTTTAAATCCTATCTCTCTGACAGACATCAATTAATCTCCATTAACAACTGAAAATCCCCCACAGCCCCCGTCAATCATGGCGTCCCTCAGGGTTCTGTACTTGGTCCCCTTCTGTTCATCATCTACATCCTCCCAATTGGACAAATCCTCCGTCAACACCAACTCCAGTTCCACTGTTATGCTGATGACACACAGCTCTACCTCTCAACAAAATCAATTTCTCCAACCACACACTCCCAGCTCAGCACCTGCCTCACTGACATAAAAATTTGGATGCAAAACAATTTTCTAAAACTTAACTGTGACAAATCGGAACTTATAATCATTGGCCCAAACTCACTTACCCGCTCAACCCAAGATTTTTCTCTTACCATCGATGGCTCCATTGTCAACCCCTCCACTCACATCCGTAACCTTGGCATCATCCTCGACCCCACCCTCACGTCAACCAGGTCACAAAAAACGCTTTCTTCCATTTAAAGAACATCGCCCGCATCAGACCCTCCCTCTCATTGACCGCTGCTGAAACTCTGATCCATGCCTTTATAACATCCCGACTGGATTACTGCAACAGCATACTTTTTGGATCACCTGCATTTATACTAAAAATACTTCAATATGTCCAAAACTCAGCTGCCCGCTTGCTCACCTCCACCCGACGCTCCGACCACATCACCCCTATCCTCCATGACCTCCACTGGCTCCCCATCAAACACCGCATTGACTTTAAAATATTACTTTTCACTTTCAAAGCCCTCAACAACCTTGCCCCCCCCTACCTCTGTGACCTCATCCAACGACACATCCCCACCCGTCGCCTCAGGTCTGCTGAAGCTAACCTACTACAGCCTATCAGGACAAAGCTCCGGACCTGGGGTGACAGGGCCTTCGCTGCAGCCCCCCCCCACTCTGGAACCCCCTCCCCAGCCACGTCAGATCCGCCAACACTTTCACATCATTCAAACAATCCCTCAAAACTCACCTTTTCACTCTTGCCTTCAACTCCTAATCAACTAACCCCTTGCCCTTATTCCACCTAGCTTAGCACTTTCTACTTTTGTTGTTATTTTGTTTTACTTGCTTGTAAGCGCTTTGAGCACCAGGAAAAGCGCTTTATAAATGTAATGTTGTAGTGACCACTATTTAACTAGGGTCCATAATTCACGCATGGAACTACAGGTTGGGGGTATTGTTTCCGCACGGACACATGTGTTGACGGTACCTGCTGTGTACCTACTGTGTGTTCCCCCTTTCACTTTCTCTTCTCTTCTGCGGCTTCGACCCGACAGCATGTCAGTTTCTGCTCCCCAATAAAGAGAGATTTGCACCTCCGATGCACCGCCTCCGTCTCCCTTCTCTCGGCACTACAATGTATTATTATTATTATTATTATACTTATAATATATAATATACATATTATAGTAGGCATTTGCTTAGAAATAGTATACTGACTGAGGTCTGTATCAAGCCTCATTTGCCACCGAGATCAGATATCCTAGTTTATCAGCCTGCGAGCCCACATTATGTTGTGATAAGTGTTAATTTTACATATAAATGTGTTCTAGTGCACACATAAAGTTCCAATATGCAAATCAGGCCATGTGTTTCGTTACATTTGCCATGCAACATTATGCTATACAATATAATATTTAGCCTCACAATATAGACATTTTTAAACGCTAACTTTCTAAATAGGCCCCCCATTTCCTGTTGCTATGTCTGCTGATAGGATGTAAACCTGGACCAAAGCTGTTGTGCTAGAAACAGAATGCAATTAAAAAAAGGTTTATATTCTAGCAATACTGGCTGTCTTTTCTGTCTTGTGACAGACTCACCAAAATAAAATAGTTAACAGCATAGGCATCACGTCCCCTATGGTGTGCTAAGGGACAATTTTACATATTGCAACAATAATAACAATGGCCAAATTCATGTTCTAATATGCAATGCAAGCTTTGCTTCTGTATAGTAGATAGACTTACTCATTAGTGTGACAGAAGGAAAGACAACAACAATGATAGTAATGATTCAGTATCAGCTTTATTTGGCAAGTATGTATACACATAAAAGGAATATAGCCTTTTTCTGTCCTGTTGGGATCCAAACCACACAGTGATGGATGTACAGAGAACAGACTGGATTATTGCAGAGTAATAATAATAATAATAATACATTATATTTATGGGTAGACAGAGTTGAAAGTAGAAAGAGTAGAACTGGATCAGCAGCTCCTGAGGCAGGTTGTACTCCGAGCTGGCGCAGGAAGTGTTGTGGCATCACGACTTGCATGCAGGGCAAAAATACTCGTCCTCTGTGGAGGGCAGTCCCATGCATCCAACGTGATACCATATTTTACAGGTGGTGCACTCAATCTGACAGGGAAAAAGATAAATACCTTCGAATACTGTCAAACATTTTGTCAGGTTCACATCAATCATCCTGATTAGGATGTAAAATTAAGCCGTTTTAACTTCCTTAGACATAATTTCTTTACAGTATGGCAATGGGTGTCAGATATAGGGTTAACATCTTAGCTGTGGTCCTTTCTGTTTGGAGTCTGTGTTGGTATGTTCCTTCAGCTGCTCCAGTGCC